CTTTATGATCTTTATGAATCCTCTGAAAGGGACCAGTGCGAGCTGACAGGCAGGTTAGAGACTTTATCCTGTCATTTTCTCACTTTACAAAGACAACAAGTGTTGCAGTACGAGAGTCCTAACTGAAGAGAGGCTATGAAGTCTTCATGTTACGCATTACGAGGACACACATTATTATCAAATTGTGCCGGACTTGATGAATTTAGTGCAAGGATGCACGTCACGACATCTGTTTTTTCAAAGTAAGGTGGATACAGTATGGAAATTAGATTAATTAATTAATGTGACCCTCTCGGGCTCGGACCAACCCACCATAGTCTCTCCAAATCTTGTGGGAATCACTGAGTAAAAAGCACATTTTGACTATTCAATTCATGCAATGGTTAAAAAAAAGGCAAATTATATGAAAAAGAATGTGGGGGAAAAAAATAATAAATAAAATTGAGGGAAGGTTTTCGCTATATTCGGTTTCGGCTGTCACAGGTGTTATGCCGAATTTTGCAAGCCTGCCGAGAATTGTATGAAAATGCATTAAAGTTCTGCTTTTAAACGCTATACTATTCTTTGTGGGGTTCATCAATAGTTATAAATGATCAGTGTATATTTTATGAACGTTAACAATTGTTAATATATTATTAAACGTAAAAGTACCATTTCTTGAGACTCAGCATAAACATCTGCCGTTAACCGCGTTCAAACAATGTGAACAGCAGTGTCCTCAAAGAACCTTAATAAGTGGATGCATAAATCGACAAGCTTCGAATACTAAAATCAATCAGTTAGCTGCAGCCTTACATCAGTCCATCTCTGTACTTTTTTGCAAATTTCAATCTGGCCTTCCAATTCTTCCTGCTGATGAGTGGTTTGCATCTTGTGGTGTGGCCTCTATATTTCTGCTCCCTGAGTCTTCTTCAAACAGTGGATTGTGATACCCTCACCCCTGCACTGTGGAGGTCGTTGGTGATGTCACTTACTGATGTTTTGGGGATTTTCTTCACAGCTCTCACGATATTTCTGTCATGAACTACTGTTGTTTTCCTTGGCCGACCTGTTCGACGTCTGTTGCTCAGTACACCAGCAGTCTCTTTGTTTTTCAGGACATTCCAAATTGTTGTGCTTGCTATGCCCACTGTTTGTCCAATGGCTCTGTTCGATTTTCCTTATTTTCTCAGCTTGACAATGGCTTGCTTTTCTCCCATAGACAGTTCTCTGGTCTTCATGTTGGCTTATCCTCTTTAACGGGAAATTCAGTCTTTATAGGTTTGAACCATGGATGAAAACTTAGACTTGTCATGCAGAGCTATTTAATGTTTCGACAATCAACCTAAAAGGCAACACCTGGGCAACAAGAAACATCTGTCAGTCACATGTTCCAATAGTTTTGCTCACTTGAAAAATGGGTGGGTTCAAACAAAGGGTGGTATGTCCTGAGTTGTTTAATACATGTAGATGTGAATACCAGGAAATAAAATTCTGAACTCTTGTCTCATACTCATCTTTTGATCTTAAACCCAAATTTCTTCAGTTAACAACAAAAACAGAGGAATTTGCCTTACCGTTCCAATACTTTTGGAGGGCACTGTACATTGAACGTGCCGCTGTGTCCCGGCACATTCACCAACGCAAAGCTAACAGCTTGCCCTGCAGCCCACACCGCTCTCTCGACCAGAACTGTGTGGGACAGTGATTGCGCCAGTACTTTTGGAGGGGACTGCATATTGACCAATATATATCAGAGAAATATAGTTATAAATAGCATGGAATTCATATCAAGTTGAGAAAAGGATTGAGGCAGAAATGTCACAGGGGCACTCCCTGGGCTGCTTCTGCAGCAAATGATGTGGATGGGGCTAGGGTTGCAGGTGGGTCCCCGGCTCCCCTGATGCCAGCAGTGGGCAAACAGTCTGTCACTAATGCTCCTTTAGCGAGAAAGGCCCAGCCAGACAGGCCTGTTGCTGCCATGAGCAGCACTCATGGTTCTCTCACTGCTGAAGACCTTAGAGATCCTGAGAAACAAACAGGCTGGTCATCATCATGGCTCTCCAGGAAGGGAGAGGCGTTTGCCCACTGGGCTAGAAGAGGAAAAGGTAGGAAGGCAGATACTTACTGTGTGGGTGGAATTGGTGAAATTACAGCCACTGTTCCAGTTACTAATGACAGAGTAAGAGACATACGAGGCAGGAGTTGGCCTAGGCTGATGATGCCAAGAAAGAGTTGCAATTGTTTTAGCCATGATGATATCAACTCTGGAGGGTGTTGTCACTGAAAAGTGCTAGATTAATAGGACTACCAACTGATTGGGAGGTGAGTGCATTGATGGCGGAGGATATTACAAATAGAATCACTTTTTCCAGAGGTTCAAACTGGATACCAAGCTATTCAGTACTCACTCACTATCACAGGAGACTTGGAGCCGTAATGATGTTTTTCTTTCCTGGCTCTCATTCAACATGCATATGGATTTTACTGTGCCTTTTTAAGGGTGTTCAATATCCCTTCCTAAGGCTACACAGGTGCTTCTGATCATTACAACACAGTTTTTGTTGATTGAAGATAAAAGTGGGTTTGTTGAGTGAGATTGTGACACTTTTTTATAATTATATATTGAGGAGCATAACATAGATTGGGGCTTGAGGTGTCAGGAGAGAGATGGGCTGGGCATAGTTCCATTGTTTTGGCAGCCTGCAAGTGTTAGGTATTATTTGTTCCTGCCAGTACAGCGTCTTTCCCGATGTACTGTGCTGATTGCAGTACAGCGTCACCACATCAGCGTAATGTGACAATTGCAGTTACAAATGACAGAAATACACAAAGTGCAACGCTTGCTAGAAAACAGTGTTTACCATGAAGACACCTGTCAGATTTTTGTCAAGAACTGGAGGCAGGACGAAATTTGACGCCTTGTAATTCTCAATGCAGCAATGTAGCAGGTACATTTTAATTCAAAGGTTATACATTGCTAAAAACCTTATGGGGATGGTGGAATCAGGGTGACCTTTATGTCATGCACATACAAATAAGTAGTAAAACCACTTTTTACTACTACAAGGCCACCCTGATTCTTGCTTGTGATCATAGATTATTGCAGTGTGAGCGATAATGGCTGTCTCAGTTACTTGCTGTGATTTCTCTGTTGATGACAACATTTTGAACCAACCTGAAAAGACTTTAGTCTCTGTGCGTCTTTGGGAAATGTCATTTTGTGTGAAATATTTGAAAGTATGGAAATACTTATATTTCACACAAAATGACAATAATAAAGAGACATGGTTCATCGTCATTAAAGAGGAATAGGCATTTGGATTTATCCACAGGTTTCCTTTGCAGAATGGAAAAGTATGGGATTTGATTTTGGTCTGGATAAGTATGGAAAAAAAGAAAAGAAAGTATCAAAACAGCTCCGCCCCAAGCGCCTTTTATATGTGTTCCAAATCTGGACATACGCGACCAAATTAGTTTGAAAGAAAATACAGCAATAGCTTTGAATTGCATATATACATAACATATTCTCTACTTTTGAAGTGAGTGCTTATGCTGAAAACTAGGTGGCCCTATCCCGACCATATTGGCTGTCCCCCCAGTCCTAAGGCTCCTTTCTTGAGGGAATTTCCTGATTTATTTTTTTCATTTTTATTTTTTTTATCAAGTCTAGTTTAAAATTATGACAGAATTGTTCTGTGGTGATTTTAATATGCATATTGATGTGCCCTGTAATACCCCCGCAAATGATTTTATAAGTATTACAAATTCTCTTAATTTTTTCTCTTTTTTTTCAATTATTTGGCAACATAATAGCATACATAGTAAGAACATGTTTGGATTAACCATTTATTTACATAATCAATATCTAGCTAATTGTACTCAGATGCCATATATGGTCTGAAAAATCTACAGAGAAGACTAGAAATTTGAGTCTGGAAAGTATGGAATTTTGAAATGGAAAATGTGTAGGAACCCTGTATCCATAACCTTGAGCTTTCTTATTGATCAGATGCTTTTTTCAGTGGTTTACCACACTCAAACTAAAGGTCACGTACAATTACTCACACATGCCCACCCTGAGGTATTATGCCCATGCTAATGTATAGTTGACACACTGATGGTTTATTGAAATAATACAGCTATTATTGATTAACTAGCATTGTGTTTCAGAAACAGTAAATATACCTCCATATGCTATTTAATGGTAAAGCAAAGGTAGTAGACAAATTTGCATCTAATTGAATGGCTTGTGACTGTCTTGCATATGTTTCCATGGTAAGTGAAGCTAGTTTCTTCTTGCGCATGAGATACAATATGCATTTGAACCATAAATAAACTCTCATTTACCAATAGAATTTCTGTCTCTTTAAGGATTTTCTAACCCCGTTTCAACAGATGTCAATATAAAAAACCTGCCTATCATATGCTTGAAAATTATCCGTCATTTTGAGATGTGATTAAATGCCCAATATGTTATTTTTTTGTAGCAACGTTCTACATTGTCATTTAATGTATATATTTATTTTTGCAATTAATCATTCAGTCTGTCAACTGTCAAAAGTAATGACAATTGCCCAACCCAAGTAATGACTGCCCAAAGAAATGTATCAAATTCACTTTCCTGCACCTGTGCTGCTCTCTATATTCAGCGTATTCAACTAAGATATAAAATAATTTCAAACTGGAGTGACTGACCAACATGTGGGTAATTTTATGATGGTAAAGGGAAAAATTAGAGATTCTAAAGGTGGCTTTTTGTCTGGTCTTTTTTTAACTATTGCATTGTGCGGGCAAAGGTAAGTGCTCTTCTGAGATAAATAGATTTTCGCGTTCATAAAGAAACAAGAGCAAAGTACTATAAAGGAATCCATGGGCACTTTAGGACATTTGCGCTTTGGTGGTTGACATAGGGTCTTTATTCAGTGTACTGACTATTCAGACTTTTCGGCCTCATGTTGTTTGATCACTTTTTCCGTGGCTACTCTAAAGAGATTGCTTCTTTCCTCTCTTTCTTCCAGGGTAGCTTGAGAAGCAGCCATCAGATATCTCCCCAGGAATTCTTGGGAGAGCTGAAGTCAGGGGTGATGGACGAACGTCTGTTTGCCTGTCTAGACTCATTGCGTGTGTCCCTTACCAGCAACCCTGTCAGGTACAGTACAAGATTATCACAGTGGGGATGGATTTGCTCTCTTTATTTAAGTGCCTGGACTTAAACTTAACTTTCTCTTTTGTTTAATTATTGTGTTAATAATTCCACAGTATAAAGACATTTAGTTGGGTTCAGCATCATATACTGTGTTTTATTATTGTGTATATAACTTATACCCTTTGTAAAAATTGTATTGATCAAAATAAATAGAATTTTCATATTAGTTTATTGTTACAATGAAATGATTCAATTAAGACATAAAAAGAACAGAGTAGCAATGTGAACAGAGATGTAGCTCACATACTGTACAGTTGTGACTGTGAAGATCATTCCATGCATAGGTGTGAATCAGAGTTGGAGCAAACTGAAAATGCTTTATCGCGAACAAAACACCATAGCTTGGTTGCTGAATTCATCCAGAACTGACCCAGAACCTTTGAGTGAACTCATTTTAAACCGTTGACTGTATAGAGTTCTACAAAGCATAACCTCTTGCTTCAGTCCACCATAAGCAGTGTGTGACTTTGTGGGATGTGTTATTCCGCTATCTAAGCCACATTGACAGGCAGATCCTCTTGTCTCAGTTGTCTCACTCTCTTAGGTTTCGATTGTTGCTTTGGGCTCTCTCTGTCAGAGGCTGGGGATTAGCAAGTTTGTTTCACATTTTCATATACTCTGCCAGACCTACTTTAAAGGCAGTCAAAAACCTAAACTCTAGTCTTTACTGACTTTTTAACACTCACACACCTCCTACCGCCACAATAGTTAAAATAAATTAGTTTCACACATATCTACAGTCTGCATTTTGCTTTGATAAGTGTTAAAACTTCTTTTTTTTTGCGTTTCCACTCACATTTTTTATGCATCAATTTCAATTAAAAAAAAGGTGGAACAAAACCCACCTTTTGTTGCCCTCGTCAGGTCTGTTGGTGGCATAACCAAGGTAGAGATCATCAACAGCTGCTTTTGGCTGCAGGAGCCATATAGTATGTCTGTCTGTGTTGCTTTCAATCAGGGAAGGCGCTTTTCTGTTAATGTTCTGTGAGGTTAATGGTAAATAGGAGGGATAGTTGGTTTATCGCCCAAGTTTGGATAACAAAAGACAATTAAAGTGACTTTTAAATTGATTTTCTTAACATTATTGCCTTAAACTCATTTATGGCGTGTCTACACATTTGATATTATCAGGGTTTGACACATTTAATTTTGTAAATGTCTTAATAAGGTGTCAGTGTTAATTAAATAAATGTTTATTTTTGGATCAAACCACAGAGTTTGTCATTTATTTATTTAAAGTATATTGTTTACTGCTTGTGGTTAATTTTGACTTTTTATTTTTATTTTTTATAAACAGACATTTAACACACTGTGTGGTCATGGAAATTTGCCTAAAAGTCTCAAACAAGAAATTGCAATACCTCTCTAGACTCTGCACAATGCTTTTCTCGTGTAGAATTGTTCTGTCATGCTGTTCACGGTTGATTGAGGATGACTGTGGTCTTGCATCACGTTATGGACTCTCGCCATGTATTTTATCCCTGATCTTTAACAATGTGGTGTGCTTTTGAACCAGAGTTTGCATATGAATAGCACTCACGCCCACGGCTGCGCTCTCCCACCTACTTACACAATAGTGCATGAGTGATGGCACATGGATGTAGGAGTAAAAGAACAGAGACTTCATTATGTTTTCTATAACCTCTTGAGCACTGCAGCTCTATTAAGATGGCCAAGAGAAAATTGGCATAAAGAGGTTTTAATCATGATGCATTTTGTGAGCCTCACTTTGTTCTTGATTAGAATCAATGACATTAGCAAAAATGTACAAACACTGCGAAGGACTCATGTGCTTCAGAACTTGAATTGGGCTAATTAGTGTAAGGGTGGGTAAAAAAAGAAAAGATGAATCACTACTTTTCTATTGAATTTTTAGAATCACAATATCTATTTTTAGAGTTCCAGAATTGATCTCCATATGGAATTTTGTGCTTTTATTTTGGTTACTGTCTGTACATTTGTGCTTAATGCTATATGAAGGCTGTTGTTACTTGCTGTAAATGAGACAGTTGGGATGCACTATGTAAAAATGTCTACACTGTATGAATTGAGTTATTACAACAATGCATGAAAAGTTTATGAAAGCATGCGTACCCACTGCTGGGACCCTCACCTGTGTGATCATCGTGGAAAATGTGACCTGGAGGCACAGACTTTTAATGAAGTCACCACTAATAAAATGGACAGTCAGGCTCATGTATAATGATATAGTTTGGCTTGACCATAAATCTGCCTTAGCTAGAAACAGTGGGCCAACAACAGTAACCTCCTGCTATCTAATAGCACAATTACAGTCCTGAGTTGTGGAATTGATTTGGCAGTAAAGCTATTTTGTCTGCCACTGTTGGATGTTGATCACTGTCACTTCCTTGGCAGTGTTGTAGCAAACATCTCTCCCTCTTTCAGGCATGCAAACTCCTCACATTTCGGCGAAATTTGCTATTTTGAAACCAAAATGGGTCACCTACGTGATTTTTGCAGATCCAATGAGAAAATATTTGGGGGCGGTTGGTCTTTGCTAAGACAGCATTTAGACCTACCCGTTTTAATTACAGAGTACTCTCCTCTCTAGCTTTGCAACTCTACAACTGGCTCTGCCTAAAAAGTCGTCACTCAAGGGCGAGTCTTTTTTCTAGTCCGCTACACTGCAGAGTCTGACAGCTGAACATGTGAGGACGATAAAAGACTGTCGGACGAACTGTCTGTCGGAAAGCAAGCCTGACGTAAGACAGAAGTAAGCTAGCTTACAATGTTAACTGTCTGATACAGTCATTTTGTTAAGTTTAGAACTTTGCCTGCTGTTATTAACAAGTAATGTTAGCTAAGCTAATTGTTCAGAGCAGTGGCTACAACCTGGATATAATGTAGGCTAACATGAACAGGATGCAACATGTCGGCATCTGTGCCATTTACACTGGGGACTCTGGGAACATGTCCCCATCACTTTTTGAAAGCGTTTGTTAAAAATGCTTTAAAAAATAGCCAATGAAAGTACTTTGAGAAAGGCTGGTTTGCATTTTTAAGTAAGAATAAACAAGCTACTGATTATAAAATGAACCAAAAATGTGCAGCACCAGTCAGTAACTTTAACAACTTGTTGTCACAGTTTCTATTTGGCCAAATCTTCTGTTCTCTCCCTGTGAACATGACAAAAGAGGAGGGAAGACTAAATCATGCCTGCATGTGTGCTAATTCAGCAGGGATGATATTACATGAGAAAAGTTGATCTACAAGAGAAACGTGAAAGCAACACAGAATTAAAGCTGCAAGCAGCGTTGGGCGGGCCCTCGCACGTGTAGCGCGTCGTTGTGTGAGGTGGCCGTGTTGCATATTCTGGATCTCTGCCGGTACGGCTGTGAATTTGCTACGCGCTTCGGACGCTGCATAAAGGTGTTTTACGTCACTTCCTGTGTCCCCTTTGTGGCACTACATGGCACTTGGCGCTATAAATATAAACTAATATTGGCGTGTAGATGTCTTCGGGGTGGGACAGTTATCAAGCACGTAAAGTTTTGTTCAGATGTGAGCATGTACACTGAAGTTACAACAACTTCCTGTGTCATGGCGAAGAGTTGATCTTTGACGCCACGCCACGGACACGGCCATTGACGAAAACTCACAGATAGCACAACTTTTCATCGTCAATGCCTTTAGAAGGCACAGCAGTAATTTGAAGTCGATCGGACTAAATGCCTAGGAGGAGTTTGTTAAAGTACGGAGTGTGTAAATCATCCAAAAATGGCCGTAAAATTGAAAATGGCCGACTTCCTGTTGAGTTTAGGGTATGGGTTCTTGAGGCTTTTTTGTGCGTCTTGATATGATACATGTCCCCTGAACATTTTGTGCATGTAGGTTGAACGTGGACGAGGGGCTAATTTTTTCCAATTTTCTAGGTGGCGCTAGCAAGTCATTTTGCCACGCCCATGCGCAAAACCCATAAAATGCGAAAATTTTCACCACTTCTGACATGTGTGCAAAGTTTGGTGAGTTTTCTAGTATGTTTAGGCCCCCAAAATTGAGCTTACTTTGCAGAAAAAAGAAAAAAAAAAATCTTTACAGTTTCAATAGGGACCTCGCACGGTTCGTGCTCGGGCCCTAATAATCTTTATAGTTTCAATAGGGACCTCACACGGTTCGTGCTCGGGCCCTAATAATCTTTACAGTTTCAATAGGGACCTTGCACGGTTCGTGCTCGGGCCCTAATAATCTTTACAGTTTCAACAGGGACCTCGCACGGTTCGTGCTCGGGCCCTAATAATCTTTACAGTTTCAACAGGGACCTCACACGGTTCGTGCTCGGGCCCTAATAATCTCTCATCTCTCTAATCTCTCAATCCCTAATGACCAAGAGCTGCACTGCATTAGATTCTGTATTTCTAGATTTTGAATTATCACCTGCCACCTGAATTTTGTTTTCCTTTACATAAATAAAAAATTTTCATCATAAATTGAAGTAGGAAAGGCAGAACATGAAATGTCACCAGAATGCAGGAAATTAAGTGTTTAATGCTCAGTTTTGGGGAAGACTCCCAGACCCTTCAACTTATATATTTCAGCTTTGATGATTTCTATTAACTACTGTTAATTTATCATCACATCTTGTTCTTGTGACGCTAGTATGCTGCATCGACACATCCCTAATTTGAGCCCTAATGTCCCCACTACTTTTCACCACAAAGTGATGCCCTTGCATGTCGGTACCTTTCTCGTGTTGCAGTAGACGAATGCACGTTATCTATAGAACATGTAAGCTTAAAAAAAGGCCCCTGTTACACTATCTCTGTATGTTTCTCTGCTTGCGTATCCTTCTCACCTTTTTTACCCCTGACCAGTTTGCATGCCTGCTCTTTGCCTCCATTGAATATCAGGGGGTAACATTCTGCTAGTATAGGCTGACAGACTTATACGCTCTCCTTCTGGTTCAGATTCCTTCTGGTACAGCA